GTGAAGGATGGGCCCACAGTGCCTCTGCCAGTGAAAACAGAGCTTAGGAGGCCCTCATTTTTTTATTTTGTATTTATTTTATTTTATTTTGCCAAGCAATTATAAGATAATAGGTATGTATAAACATAGTTATGAATACATGAAATGGATACATATAAGAAAAAAAACCAATGGGACAGGGACAGCAGGCACTGTTTCGACCGTGACGGCCTCCTACATCCCTCTGTCAGTGAAAACAGCTCAGCATGTGTGCACAGCCCTATCAAGTTGTTTCTTCTGGTAAAAGGCTGCAGGAAGCTATCACTGCCAAAATGGACGTCGAGTTGAACATGGCCACCTTGGCCACGGGCACCCTGGCCACAGCCCTCCAGCCTCCTGAAGTCAAACACAACCCTAATGCAGTCCTCAATGAAATTGAGTTTGACATCCCTACTGTAAATCATTCAATTACGATCTTTTGTCCTACTGATATATCAGTGGATTTAATTTGAGCTGGAGTGTTACAGAAGACTGATAGAAAGGTTGGTGTTTTTTCCATCATATGACATTCAAGAAAGTGGTAAACCTTCATTCAGGAATAGCCCTGACATGGTAGAATCACTTCCTGAAAGAAGTGGGAGATCTCTCTAGAGTGAATGCTTCATTAGTGGGTCAAAGTGAAAATTGACAATTTAGTCAGCATTCTTATGACCAAGCTTAAATTAGTGACAACATGTGGAAGAAAACAGAGACATGCAATTCTTTATTTCCAGGCACAAAATATGCCATTCTTTCAAAAGAACCAAATAAGTTGAAGTGCTGAACCTATGAAGAAAATCTGGCTCTAAATTTGTCAAAATGAAGAAGAAACAGAAATAATCCAGCAAATTTTAATAATGTATTTCAACTATTGCTAAGCATATTAAAATATTTCACTAATAATAATTATGATTAGAACTATTCACTTTTGCAAGGCTGTCAGGGCACTTCTGATTCTATCTTCTTTTCCTTATGCGGTTAACTTGCAGATTAGTGAACAATATTGTTTCAGAGATGTTTGTTTGTTTGGTGTCTTTATGTCATTGTTGACTGCTGGTGTGATGACCCAGGGTGGGATACAAAACAAACACAGTGACAGAAAACAAGTGAAGCCCATTTTATTCCTTCACTTTTCTTCCAAGCTCGAATATTCTTGATGGAAGACCAAAAATTCCCACACAAACAATTACAAGAAGACGGAAAAAAGCAAGACAAACCAGGCAAGATAAGGGCTGGAGGACGTCCACAGATAACACACACTGGGAAGGATGCCAAACTCAGAGAGGAATCATAAACTAGAGATATTTCCAAACTTTGTTTCCAGCACTCGTCTGTACGCATGTCCGTTCTCTTATTCAGTTGTCACAGCTGCGGCCATGAAGAGGATCAAGGCCCTCTCCTGAGTAGATCATGTTTCTCCCTTATCCTCTCCTCCCTGCATGCCCTAGGATGATGGGCCTGGGTCCTCCTCTGACTACTCAGCAAGCCTCTGCCCTTCCCCAGCCTCCTCCACAATCTCCGGAGCCACATTTCCACTCCCTGCCAGCTGTTCCTCCTCCCCCTCAGAGTCAGTCTCCACCAGGGGCATGACACCTGGCAACTGCCTGGATAAGTCCCTGCAGTTTTCTTGGTAACATTTCAGTAACAGTTTGCCTTCCAAGGACTATAAGAGTGATTGGCTCAAGGTCACCCAGCTGTATTAAAGACAGGATTAGAAGGGGTGTTGGTACTTACCTGACACGCCCTTTCTCTGTGAGCTGTGAAGAGCATCCATTGTTTGGGATGATACTTCTGTCATTCGTTTGATAGGCTGGGCTTTAATTGAGAGGACGCTCCTCCTCCTCGAGACTCCTCCCTAGCGTCCCCAGTTATGGCGAAGTTGAAGTGATGAAATACTTCTTCTCCTTCACCCTTTCTAATACTTGGCCGGAATAGCATCCCACCAAATGAATAAGGATGGGGATGGATGCTCTTCACAGCTCAAGAGAAAGGGCATGTCAGGTAAGTACCAACGCCCCTTCTCCAGATTAGCTGTTCAGAGCATCCATTGTTTGGGACATACCAAAGCTTGGCATGTCCTACGGGAGGGCTTCCGTCTGGTTCGGATTCCCCTTTTCTTGGTCCCTATGGACCCTTTGTAACACTTTCCTGTCAAAGGCAGCCTCTGTAGAGGCGAAGACATCATTCTAATAGTTTCTAAATAAAAGGCGATGGTGAGGCCCATGTTGTCGCCTTGTAAATTTTCGCTATTGGCGCTTGTGGCCTATGTCAACATCGCAGCGCTCCAGGTCAAATGAGCAGTGATGCCCCTGGGTACAGGAAGAAATTGTGTCTCATAGGACTTGGGAATTGTGCTCTCAGCCACTTACTGGTCATTGAGGAAGGGGTCTTGCACCCAATGGTGGGTGGTTGAAAAGAAACCAAGAGAACCTTTGTTTCCTAACACACATTGTGCAGTTGAAATATATGCAGAAAGCTCACCTTACATCTAGATTGTGGCATTGTCGTGCCAGATTTTATGTCGGTTTCAGACAAAAGTACGGGAGTATCAGTTCCTATGGTCTGTGGAAACCCAAAATTTATGGGTGAAAGATGGATCTGGACTAAGGACCACTTTGTCTATGTGAAAAATACAGAGCTCCTGTCTAACTGACAAGACTACCAGATCCAAGATGTAACTGGCCGATGTAATGGCAACCAAGAGAACCACCTTGTATGAGGAATGGAGACGCATGGTCTACATGGGCTCAAAGGGAGTTTTCTTGAGTGCGGTAAGGACCTTGTTGAGGTCCCATGTGTGATATCAATGCACTACAAGAGGCTGTAAGATTGTAGCCCCGTGCAAGAAAATGGCATATGCGTGGCTGATGAGAGATGGACTGCAAGTCTCTCCTAGTGATGACTGATGCTAAGGCCTCCCCTTTGCCTGTTTATATGAACAAGATAATAATGAAATGTCATATAAATAACACTGCCGTCTAACAGGTGTTCCCCTGAGATGAACAGTCAGAGCCATCAGAACCTTCGTAAGAATCTTGGGCAGATGACAACCCAAAGGACAGTGCAATGTATTCAAAACATTGAGTATTATAACAAAAACTAAGAGTTTTGCTATGTGAGGATCTAATTGGAATGTGAGGATGGGCCTCCATTAAGTCAATGGAGGGTAGAAAATTGCCCCTTCTGAAGCTCAGAAGTATGGAGGTCAGTATACTCATCTTAAGCCTCTTATGAACTATGGATCAATTAAGTCATTTTAAAACTAAAATTGCCCCTGCTGATCTGGTGCCATAGGTTGGTTGCCTGGATCTCCAATAAATGAACAATAGCTGTCTCCATCATGCTCCCTTTAACAGGATCCCCAGAGAGAAGGCAAGTAATGCAAAGGTTCCGGAGAGAGGATGGAAATTCTATAGTCAGGCCTAATCTTCTGATACCTCTAACCCAGGAAACAGAGGTAGAGGCATCCCATCTGTCCATTAAAGGCTTGAGCCTTCCACCAGTAGGGGCACAGTCGTGAGGCCTGTGGTGTGCCTCAGAGCCTTTTATTTCATGTTCCTCAAGAGATTCTTTTGCTCTGCCCTCCCCTTCAGTATCTATCTCTAGATTGGAAACTATCTGACTATTGGTGATTCATGCGTCCAGATGGTCCCTGGAGTCTGGAGAGAAAAATTCCCTGGTAGAGGGAATGAAGGAACCCTCCAAAAAGCTGGGAAGGACTATTTTGGGGTCTATGAAAAGAGAGGCACTTATTTTCTGCTTCTAGTCTCTATCAGAGATAGGTCGGGGCACCACCAACCAAATTATCTCCCTATATTGGGGAGGAAGCAAGCTTCCATTAGTTGTGTGATATCTGCTTGCCAATGTCTGAGCCATAGCAGTAGGCGAGGAGTAACCTGAGATGCCCTGGCTTGAGCAGATAATTTAATAGAGTTTTGTGGCGTCCTTGTGTGCCCTGATATTGGAATTTGAGATAATCTCCCTCAAATGGCGGAGCAACCATCTAGTAAAAAGGGGGGGGGGATGAGGCCGACTCCACTCTTACGGCCCTCACTTCAGATCAACATGCCCTACATGGGGACAACTCAACCCTGTATATCCTTTGATTTGAGAGCCTCTTCTGCTTCCGTTGGAATTGCAGAGGAAGGTGGATAATTGCCATTATTGTTTTATCTACTATCGTGGTGATGAGAAATTTAGCAGAATGAGAAAACCAAATTAAAAATTTGCTATCATATCCTGTAAGAGGGGTATGCACCACTGAAGAGGCCCCTTGTTTCTGGATGAGGTCCAAGAACCTCTGTGGGACAGTTATGACTTCCTCTTACATTATTGGTTGGGAGAAGATTAAATCATCTGACCTTCCCCTTATAGTAACGATTATTGGGCCGAGGGGAAATGGAATATCAAGGCAGGAAGTAGGGTTTTTTTTTTTTTTTTGAAACAACAGAGACTTGAAAAAAGTCTGAGGGCAAAACAGAACTGAAGGTCAGTGGTCTGGCTTAATGCCTTCAATGTTTGACATGCCCCTCCTTTTTAGGGGATGTGCCTCTGACAGATTTTGGTCACTGTTGTGAGTAGACCCTTCCTCAACCTGTTCCATCTGGTCCCTAGTTCTCCCTCATCCTGTGCATCATGTGAATGTGTAACTGGATTATATAATACTCCCTGAAGGAGGTACCTGCTGGTAATGAAGGTCTATTCTGCATAGTAACTAAATCGAGTGAGAATCGAGGTCAGATTGTGGAGGCTGCCTGACCATCAACTACTATTGTGCCCCGGCTGCGATGCCTCTTCAAGTTACCATGTCCCTCCAGGCCTTCAATTTGTCAGGGATATCCTGTGGGAGGAGGAATTCTGGTGTGGTCCCACAACTGTCCATCAGGCAAGTAGCGCTGCTGAAGGCCTGGGTTGAATCGGTCTCTCTGAGGCGTCCTGAATGGCGCTGGATGGCGTTGAGAGATCCAGGGATGGAGGCAAGGTGAAATATGGAACACTTCACAGATTGCGTGTCATCCTTGCGTAGGGGACATGCTAATCTTCTCTGTATCATTCCAATTTTAGTATATGTGCTGCTGAAATGAGCATTCTGGAACTGGGACAAGTCTGGCTGGGGAAGAGGACTGAGACTTCTGTTCAACTTCCCTCATGCATTTTTTTAAAATTTAAGATATGCTCATCTAACGCATTTTGGTGTCTCTTGGCATCCTTTGTTGCCTTAGAGGTCTCTCTAGGACGTTTTTACCTACTTTGAGTTGGTTTATTGTCTTTTGGGGGTATTTTTGGTTGCCCTTGAAGATTCTGACCCACAAGGTGAGATATCTATATGTATCTATATGTGTATGAGATATTAATGGACTGTTGACTGGTTCAGAGGACTGATATAAACAGAGGCAGGGAATCCTCTTGATATTTGCTCCCCCCCTTTTTTTTTGGTAAATTCAATTTGTTTTTATGTTATTATTCATAATAATATCGATATCATTAATATTGATATTATTGATAATATTTTTGTTATATCTGTGCACAGCTACTAACATAAATTGTTGTGCTGTTACCAAACTCATAATTAGATGACTGAATATGGAATCAAATTATGAGACCAAATAGAGAACACCTTTCAGGACCTGTATTGCAATTGGATGATCCTGCAGTCACTGGCACTCAACAGCTTCCTGCCCAGATGGACACAGGCCTTGGTGCTCACTGTTACTGTGCTTCTAAAATTCTGTGAGGGCTGCCAACTGAAAAAGGAAGCCCAATAGTCAACCTCAGAAAGAGGTCCGTAATCGACATAAATGTCCCCTGGACCCTCACGGAGATCCTTGAGAGGGGAAGTGGCTTCTCAACAGATAATACCATGGAATTCTTATAAACAAAATGATGCCGGCATTGTTTTAGTCATCAAGATGTAGCATCAACCATCACCTTTTAATGTGAGCCGATGCGAATCTAACTAGAATTTGAGAATTTGAGCAGGAGAACTCAGAGTCCTCTGGCTCCACCCAATCAATAGCCCTTGCTTCTTCTATATATCTTGTGGGAGTATATCTGAAACTACAGAATCTCCTGTGGAGAGATACCTGAGGGTAAGGATGCTCTGTCCTGCTTAATGACCGGAGTTATAGGGAATTCCAGTCAGAAGGAGCACTCTGTTGGAGCAGTATGCTGGACCTCCGCAGAGATACATTGGCGTATTGCTAATTCCATCCACAGTCACATCTTTGTGGGGATCTTTTCAGGTAAGTCATCATCTTGACAGAATCTGGCCGCTGTTGGAGCAATGTGGCCACAGAGTCACTTCGAGTCACTTGTACTGATCTAGATGGGCTACCTGATCTTGTGCGGCTGCGCTGCATCTGGATTACACAGACAGATTCAGGGGTGGTTGCAGAGGGAGATTGGAGCCGAAGTAGGCCTGGAGGAGATGAGGTTTGAGAATTTTCTTCATCCTCCCACATGAACTTCTTCATGTGTTTTTCTAGTACCTTATAGCGCTTGTTAGCGTCTTTTTCTGCTGCTTAGGAGATACACTTAGAATGCTTCAATTTGTTTTGAGAATTTGACATGGCTCTTGAGCTACTGCCGCTTGCCATTGTGACCACTTATTAAATTTTACTGTTAATGAGGCTGAAATGTTGGCACGCCCAGTGGCCTGAACCAGCAATGGCCAGGGAACCCTAAAACAATGCTCCCCAGTTTTGTATAATCTTATGTAAGAATACTGAATTCTTATTCTTGTTCCTATTATTATTATTATTGTTATTTTGTTATTAATATTATTCTTTCTGAATTAGCCAAATTAGGAACACCTCATAGGCCTAGAAAGGAGGAATTGTTGAAATAAGATGTAGGCCTGCAACAGCTTCCTGCACAGGCGGACATGGGCCTTGGTGCTTGCTGTGGTGCTGCTGTTTAATTCTGTGAGGGCATAAGCCAACAGTTTCCTCCTTAATGAATAAGGGTCCAAAATAGAATAATTATATCTATCTATCTATCTATCTATCTATCTATCTATCTATCTATCTATCTATCTA